TCTCTTTTAAGGCGTCGATACAATGGTTGAGCCGTGATTCACCAGACGCAGCTGGGCTTTGATCAATTGCGTCATTCTAGGCCTTGAACACGCTTGTTGGGCTTCCTGGCTCGCTTCCTGCCTAGGCCTCGCTTGATCAACTGGGCAGTGTTGGCGCGAGTCGTGACATTTCCCCCACCTTTAGAACTAGATTGTCCCCAAGCCGTGAAAGATGGAAAACGAGCAATGAACTCATCTTCGTCTTCCCGGGTAGCCATCTCTGGTGGAAGATCCATCCATTTGATCAGCACTTGATGATAGAGTCGCTAGGACTTGTTTTGCACTCGGCGATCCAGTACCATCTCAGGAGTCTGCACATCGGTGGTAGAAGATGGTAATGGTGAAAATTTCACAGTAGTGTTACCTTGTACCTTCTTCAGAAGCGAAACATGGAACACTGGATGTATAGATGAATTGGCAGGGAGCTTGAGTTTATAGGCCACTGAAGCAACTTTGGATTCCACCTCATAAGGACCAAAGTAACGATAAGAGAGCTTTGGGCTGACTCGCGAAGCAACAGACCCTTGAGCATAAGGTTGCAACTTATGCCACACCTGATCTCCCACATTGAAGCTGCGCTCAGAGCGATGCTTATCAGCCTGATTCTTCATTCGTTGCCGGGCTCTCAGTAATTGTTGTTGGATCAGAGCAATGACTGTAGACCGTTGCTTTAACCAGTTGTCGAGATCAGGTACAGCACAGTCTTGATCAGGATCAATACCGAAATGTCTTGGTTGATGACCATACAAGACTTCAAATGGTGTATGCTGAAGAGAAGCATGATGGCAGGTATTGTACCAGAATTTTACGAGATGTAACCATTGAGACCACTTCGATGGACAAGCATGAATGAAACACCTGAGATAGTTCTCAATGCATTGGTTGGCCCTCTCGGTTTGGCCATCACTTTGAGGATGGTAAGCAGAACTCTTGCAAAGTTTAGTACCAGCAAGCTTGAACAATTCCTTCCACAGTTGGTTAGTAAATTTTTTGTCTCTATCAGATACTATAACTTCTGGCATGCCATCTAACTTATAGATATGTTCCATACATTGCTGAGCTATCTGAAGTGCAGAGAAAGGATGCTTCAGCTTCAGGAAATGGGAGTATTTGGAGAACTTATCAACAATCACCAAAATACAGTTGAACCTAGCAGAAGTTGGTAGGCCTTCAATAAAGTCCATAGTGACTATCTTCCAAGCCTGATCAGGGACTAGCAAAGGTTGAAGTAATCCTGGATAGGGAATTCTTTCAGATTTTACTTGCTGACAGGTAGTGCAATCAGTGACAAATTTCTGGATAGTAGTCTTCATATGGGGCCAATAGAACAGCTTGGAAACCCTTTGATAAGTGACCAGGGATCCTGAATGTCCTCCCAATGGACTTGAATGAAGTTGTTGTAATACTTTAGTTTGCAATTCTTCAGAATGACCCAACCAAATAGTATTTTTGTATTTGATGATGCCTTAAGTTAGCTGAAAATGCCCCATAGGATTTTGCACAGCTAAAGCAGTTAGAAGTTTCTGAGCAACAGGATTATCATCATAGCTATTCTGGACTGTTTGCAACCAGAAAGGTTGAGACACAGAAATAACTGAAAGCTCTAGTTTGGTTTTGGTGAATTGATGAAACCCTAAGTGCTAACCTAGTTTATCAAAGTGATTATGAGATAGGTGGCACATTCCAAGTGGTGGAGCAAATGAAGATCATAACATGATGATGATGATGCCATGGTGATGATCAAGTGCTTGGACTTAAAAAGAAGAAAGTGAAAAACAAAAGGCTCAAAGCAAAGGTATAAGTGGTAGGAGCCATTTCATTTCGATGATCAAGACACTTAGCGAGTGTGATCACATTTAGGTTCGATAGCCATACTATTAAGAGGGGTGAAACTTATATCGAAATACGGTTATCAAAGTGCCACTAGATGCTCTAACTCATTGCATATCCATTTATAATCTAGTGGAGTGCTAACACCCTTGAAAATGTTTGTGAAAATATGCTAACACACATGCACAAAGGTGATATACATTGTGTTTAGCACTTGGGAGCAAGGGTTCAAAACTTCACCGGCGCCCTGTACAGAAAAGACAGGGTTTCACAGAGTGCACCGGACGTTGTCCTTGTGGGACCGGACGCGTCGGTGGCTAAACCTAGGTGTCGGTCAGTCAGCAGAGACTGACCGGACTCTGAGCGAGTCTGGTCATGTGTGACCGGACGTGTCCGGTCGCTCAGAGAGCTCTCTGGACTCTCTCTGAGTTGCACAGGACGCTGGCTAATAAAACCGACCGGGCGCTACTCTGGCGAGTCCGGTGCTAATGACGTGGCGCTCGGGGGTTAGGTCTGTGTGTTGACCGGATGTTGGGTGAGTCTGGTCAGGGGTGACCGGACGCCTCCGGTCGCAACTGGAACCTTACTGGAACTGATCGGATGCTAGGCAACTGTACGTCCGGTCCTACACTGTAGTGCGTCTGGTCACAACTTAAATGTACTGATAACCATTGAGATTGGGCGATCAGCATTTGAAGCAGGGGACACGTGACAAAAATCTGAGGACCGGACGCTGGGGTCCTACGTCCGGTCAATTCGACCGGCGCGTCTGGTCGCCCCGATTTCTCAGTGAACAGAGAGCCAACGGCTCTATTTGTGGGGGGCTCTCTATTTAAGCCCCATTACCGACTCTAGCTCACTCTCTTGGCTATTTGCATTGACATAGCAACCTTGTGAGCTTAGCCAAAGCCCTCCCACTCATCTCCATCATTGATTCATTATCTTTGTAAGATTGAGAGTGAATCCAAGTGCATTGCTTGAGTGTTTGCATCTAGAGGCACTTGGTGTTCGTGTTTCGCTGCGGGGTTCGCTTGTTACTCTTGGTGGTTGCCGCCACCTAGACGGCTTGGAGCAGCGAGGATCGTTGAGCGGAGGTTGGTGATTGTCTCTGGCTCCGATCGTGGTGATTATGAGGGGTTCTTGACCTTTCCCCGGCGAAGAGCCAAAAGGTACTCTAGTAAATTGCTCGTGGCTTGTGTGATCCACATCTTATGTTGGTTGTGCGGCACCCTATTGAGGGCTTGGCGTGTGATGCCAATTAGCGCGTGAACCTCTAAGTGGGTGAATTGCCACAACGAGTACTAGCTTGCCGGCAAGCAAGTGAACCTCGATAAAAAATTATTGTGTCATCATTTGATTCCGAGGTGATTGGTCTTTATTGGTATTCATTCTTGTAATTGATTGGTTTATTCCTCGACTCGATGGTATAACCATCTTGCTCTCTCTCTTTACATTACCGCAAACTAGTTGCCAAGCTCTTTAGTGTAGCTAGTCGTGAGAGCTTGTTAGTTTTGATTAGTGTGGCTCTTTAGTTAGCCTTTGAGAGCACACTAACTTAGTATAGTGACATAGCCATTGTGTGGATAGAAACTATATAAAGTAGAATTGTGGTAGGTGGATTGCATTTTTAGTAGGCTAGCGCAATACTCATTTCGCCTCATATTTATCTAACCGGACTGCTAAGTGTTGTTGTTGAAATTTTTATAGGCTATTCACCCCTCATTTGGCCATTAAGACCTTTTAATAGCAGCCAAAGAGCCTGTAACATGAGTGGCCCTAGAAAGTGCATCAGCAGCACAATTGGCTGTTCCTTTCTTGTAAGAGATTTTATACTGATAACCCATGAGCTTGGTTAGTACCTTTTGTTGCAAGTAGGAGTGAAGTTTCTGATCAGTAAGATGAGTCAGACTTTTCTGATCTGTATGAATGACAGATTCTGCAGGTTGTAGATATGCTTTCCAATGATCAATTGCCAATAGAATAGCTAAACTTTCTTTCTCATAAGTGGACAAGCCTTGAGTTTTGGGACCTAATGCTTTGCTGACATAGGCAATAGGATGCCCTCCTTGGTGTAACACTGCTCCTATACCAGTATCAGAAGCATCTGTTTCAACTACAAAAGGTTGATCAAAATTTGGAAGGGCTAGCATAGGAGCAGAGATCAGAGATTGTTTTAGCAACTAAAAAGCTTGCTCGCAAATATCAGTCCACAAGAATATAGCTTCCTTCTTGAGTAAGTCAGTAAGAGGTTGAGCTATCATACCAAAGTTCTTGATAAATCTCCTATAATAACCTGCTAATCCTAGAAAACTTCTGAGTTCCTTAACAGACTAGGGAGAAGGCCACTGTTGGACATCCTAAATCTTAGATGGGTTGGTTGCAACACCATTAGGACTAAGTACATGTCCTAAGTAATGAAGTGTTTGCTGAGCAAATGAGCATTTGGCCAACTTGACCTTGAATTGATTTTCATGGAGGAGTTGAAAGACTAACTAAAGATGTTGTAGATGTTTAGTATAAATCTTACTATAGATGAGTATATCATCTATTAATATCACCACACATTTCCTGAGAAGAGGTGCCAATATATAGTTCATCACAGTTTGGAAAGTAGCAGGAGCTCCAGTTAATCCATAGGGCATGGCTTGATATTCATAGTGGCCTTGATGTGTTTGAAAAACTATTTTATATTGATCTTCAGGACTAACTAATATCTGATGAAAACCAGACCTCAAGTCTAAAGTAGAGAACCAAGTGGCACCTTGTAATTCTTCAAACAACTCTTCAACTATTGGCATAGGAAACTTATTTTTCATAGTATAGGCATTAAGCTTTCTGTAATCCACACAGAGTCTCCAGTCACCAGTCTTCTTTTTAACCAACATAACAGGTGAGGCAAAAGGGCTAGTGCTCTCTTTAATCATGTTTGTCTTAAGTAGCTAAATGACTTGCTTTTCTATTTCATCTTTTTGAGCTGGAGTATATATGTATGGTTTTAACCTAAAAGGCTGAGCTCCAGGAATTAAAGGTATGGAATGAGTATGTTGTCTTGGTGGTGGCTGACCAGTTGGTTCTTGAAATAGATCACTAAACTGGTTGACCAAATCTTGAACTTCAGGTAACAACTACAACTAGCTGTTGGAATTAGTGGTGTCAACTGCATGTAACTCAACCACACCCCACATAGCTTCCTGCTTCACCATAGCTAACAGTTGATTAAGTGTAACCTCTTGTGGCTTATCAGTAGTACCTTGAATACCTTGAATTTTGACTTTAGTCTGCTGATACTGAAAACTGAGCCACTTTTGCTTCCACTGAATCTGCATAGGGCTAAAAGACTCCAACCATTCTATACCAAGGATAGCGTCATAACACTGCAGTGCAGAACTTTGAAGGTGGTATTAAACAAAACCCCTTGAGTAGACCAGGGACAATCCACAATCTCATGGGTACATCTCATAGTAGCACCATCTGCAACCCATACTTGCATTTGGTGTGGCAAGGGAGTCCAAGGACTGACCATTTTAGCCAAGTGTTCACTGATGAAATTGTGGAAACTTCCAGAATCCACTAAAACCAGAGAGTTATAACCCTGAATAAATGCATGGACCTTAAGGGTATGAGGTGCACAGATTCCCTTGATTACTTCATCAGATAAAGCCATAAGTTCATCAGGGTCAGAATCAGATTCAAGAGATTGCTCAGCAAGTTCTCCCAGAAGTTGCCAGAGTTCTTCAATGACTTGTAAGGGAACATTTGGTGGACACTTGTGTTGAGGGCCCCATTTACCACCACACTTGAAACACAAGCCTCTGGCCTTTCTATAAGCCATGAGAGAAGCCAATTTTTCATCAGGTTGAACAGAAGAATTCCCCACAGCTGACTCTGAAGAGTGTTTACTGTTAGCAGTCTTGTTTGAAAAAGTTGCAGCCATGGACTGAGTCTTGCTTGTATGCTTGCTTGAGTAAGATGAATCCAGCTTCTTGTATTCCTTGGGAACATGCCCAGACAGTACCTCTTCCTGTAAAATAGCAAGAGAACTCGCAGTATCCAAGTCTTTTGGACGATGTAACAAAACAGTAGCTCTAATTTCTGGTTTTAAACCATCAACAAACATGCTAGTGAGGATGACTGGGTTAACTAAAGGATCATGAGCAAGGAGTTGGTGCATAAGGTCATCGAAAAGGGTGATATAATCCATGACAGAACTAGACTGTTTGACATGGAAGAACTGACGAATGAAGTGATTGAACTGGTCCCTATCAAATCGATCAACCACTAGCTTACAAATTTGTTCCTAGGTACATTGTTTCATGTTAAGTTCAATGGTCTGCATCCAGAAAGTAGCAGGATCGGTGAAATTTATAGTGGCTAGCTTAACCTAGTTTTCTACAGAAATTCCATACAGATCAAAGTATGTGTCACACTGTTTGATCCACAATTTGGGGATAGTTCAATTGAACTTAGGAAAATCTAATTGAGGCATAGCTAGACTCATATGGGAACAGGAACCACAATGAGCAAATCCACAGTAAGTATGAGGGTGATGGGATCCATGGTTCGTACCGTTGACCGGAGGTGGTTCAAGGGTATAAACGACCCCCGAACCATCGCTCCGGTGATGGGGTTCAGCACCGTGGCCACATGGACCAGATGCCGCCTGCACAGAGGATGGGTCTAGATGAGCGGACCCCGGCACCTTGAGAGAACTGGATCCAGCATGGGCGGGATAAGTAGTAGTTGTGGTGGAAGCCGACTTGAGTTCATCGAGTTGCTGATGAAGGTTGTCGACGCAGTCGCGTAGATCCGCCACTTGGTCGTCGACCTTGGTTCTCCAGCGGTCGAACTCAGCCCTGGCTACGGTGATCTCAGTTACTGAATCATGAACTTGGTGGAGGCAGCGCGTGTTCTCGAAGATCCCCTTCAATTGCTCATCCAACTTCGAGAGAATCAACGCCAATTGATCTTCAACCTTCATTGTCACCTAAAGGCGTGTGCGATGCTCATGAGCCAGTTCGTTGAATCAGGATTCGACTACCGACCCAACCAACCTCGGCTCGGGTTTATGAGTCTTACGCAATCGACACCGAAGTGGATCACGGAGCTCTACCAACGAGGATTACGGTTGCGATCAAGGAAACGAATAGGGAAGATTCGAGACGAACAGAGCTGGAATTTGGTGGTGAATTGTGGTGGATTGAACCGAATCTGATACTAGATGTTACACTACTAGATAGGTACTACCATGAATCTGATATAGAACTAAATAGTATGGAGTTTACAAGCTCTGGTAGGCAAGGTTGCCACCGGCTAACTCGAGCCGTAGCCCGCCGCCAACAACTCCGACGACAACCGAGACACATCACAGTTTCCTCTTCTCTCCTCTTCTCTCTCTTTTAAGGCGTCGATACAATGGCTAAGCCATGATTCACCAGACGCAACTAGGCTTGGATCAATTGCGTCATTCTGGGCCTTGAACGCGCTTGTTGGGCTTCCTGACTCGCTTCCCGCATGGGCCTCGCTTGATCGACTGGGCAGTGTTGGCCGAGTCGTGACACTAGCGCATGCTGTCATAAGCAAGTCGTCACGTGCAGGCATGAGCTCGGTCATCGGCGCTGCAGGGGAGCGACATCGGCCTCCAGTGCATGTGGGCACAAGCTCTAGCCGCCACCGCTCACGCTCGTGGCATGCCCTTCGGCGGGGAAGGCAGCGGCTGCACCGCAGGCAGAGCGGCTCATTGTCGGCCTACCGCTGTTCATGCTGTCCTCGTCACTGGCTCGATGCCCAAGTCGTCGCGTGACTGTGCCGTGTAACAGAGCGCATGCCATGACGACGACAAGCTTCACCTCCTGCCCACCTACCAGCATGCCTTTTGCTCTCGCTGCATGAACCCTTGGCTCTGTGCAAACCCAGATCCTGCTAGCTGTGTCACGCGTCCATCGTGTTGTCCTATCCGGCGCTCACGGACCTCCTCCATGTGGAGATTGATAGCGTTAGTAGCCACCGCTCTAACCCAGATGCTACGGCCGCCGCCGTCCATGCGTACCCGCTCCCTGGTGGGCTCCCCAACTTGGCGTCATCGGAGTAACGAGGAGCTCCACGTCGTGCTCAAACTGAGCCCGTGCGACACCGTCGAGTCCAGCAACCCACTAACCTAGCAGTCACATCACATCAGTAATAGTAGCACGAGCTCACCGCAGTGGAGCGTGGGCAGCCATCGTCGTCGTCATCGTACGTGGACCTGTCCCCTACGGCATCGTTCAAGTCGATGGCGGAGCAGCGGAGCAACCAGTGGAACAGCCAAACGCGTCGGTGGGGCAGGAGGTACTGGAGCGGCCGGTACGACGCTAGGGCCGTGGCAGTCGCCAGTGTCACACAGGCATGATCTCGGACGCCATCCACGCATGGCGTGTGTGCTCTGTCGCCGGCACAGCCACCGTGGGTATGGCCGAGCCATGCCACCACACATTGGGTGGGGAGGGGCGACGCGCTTTTTGTGTGCAATCGTGGATTAAAAAAAGAAAGGAGAAGCAAAATGAATGTGAGGGGTTAAATGTAAAAATGACTACCATATTGGCATGCCACGTAAACAAAATACTGCTGACAAGACGGTATGGATCTACGGTGAACCAAAAATCAAGATAAGAGATCTAAAAATGTATTTTGAGAGTTTGTGAGACCTAAGTGACACACCATTATAAATACAAGGGTCGCTAATGCATTTAACTCTTTGTTTTCCACCTCGATGCTTAGCTGCTGCGGCTACCTAGGATGCTGACGTGTTGGATACACGTGAGGCGCGGCATGTTCGCGTGCTCAAAGCAGGCTCCTGCCTATAAAAGAAAGTGTGTGTACCGGTCGGGTGGTGTATGCCATCGCCTCCCTGTTACGTCAGTGTAGTGCTGCTACCAGTGTCTAGCACGATCAGTAGGCCACACGTTCTCCGGTCGTAGAATGAGGGCATCTAGTACCGATCAGTAATTACGCTTGAGTCTGCCTAGGTGCATAGATGTCCAACGGGCCGGGCCGGGCCGGCCCAGCCTAGGCCCGGGCCAGGCACGCCCTAATGGGAGTCGGCCCGTCACGACACGCTGTGCCTCTCAGACCATGCTGGAGCGGGCTTCGTGCTTGGCCATTGTCCCAGGCATGGTCCTATGGGTCGATTTTAGTGCCAGGCTAACCCGTTGAGCACGGCGCATCCAGCGTGCTGGGCCAGCCCATGGCCCGCCATAGAGCGAGAGAGCAGAGAGAGGCGGGACTGCGGGAGGTGATGGCGGCGCTCGACACTGGATCCCGCAAGAAGAGAAGGGGATGAAGGGGATTCGGCGAGCCGCGGGGAAGCGGGAGCTCGAGCACGGCACTCGCACCCAAGGCGCGGCCTCGTCATGTTGGTCCCCTGCCGTGCATGAGGAGGAGGAGGGCGGCTGTAGGGCGGAGAAGCAGGGGACCGGGGGGAGAAGGTCACGTCCACGCGTGTGTGGGAAACGGGAGGTGGCGGCGGCTGCGTCGCTTGGATGGGAATGGGAAGAGAGTTAGGGTTATGAGGATAAGAGTGTATATATTTGATTGGGGAGTTGGGGGTGGAGGCTGAGTTCTTAGCAGGCCGGCTGGCTAGGCCGCTATCAAGCCGCTCTATGTGGACCGGGCCGTGCCATGTTAGCCCACGTGCCTGAGTAGCGGCCCAGGCACGGCCTGCTCCACCAGGCCGGGCCGGCCGAGCCCACTAACCATCGGGCCGTGCCGTGCTTGGCCGGGCCAAAATAACATGCTTTGTGCCAAGCCGTCGTGCCTCGGGCTCTGTGGACATTTATACCTGGGTTTACAGTGTACTTACCAATGATTTGGGGTGTTTGGGTGGGCAAATTGGCCCGGTGGATAATACGGCTAGGGTACGAAAGTGAGTGAGGGGACCTGAGCAGCAGGACGCGTCGCCCGTGGTCTGGTCGTTTCCGGGAACGGCTAGATCGCAGGAGAATAATGCCGGTCCCTGTACTGCGCGCCCATCCTCGCTCCGCGACGGCGCACACAGCACACACCGTGGAACGACGACGTCGAGCTCGCGGCGGCCCATGCCCATGGGCGGATGCAATCATCATTGGGTTGTGTTTAGTTCACGAAATGAAAATTTTTGGATGTCACATCGGATGTTTCGGGGATGTCGGAAGGGGTTTTCGGATACTAATAAAAAAACTAATTACATAGCTCGCCTGGAAACTGCGAGACGAATTTATTAAGCCTAATTAATCCATCATTAGCACATGTTAGTACTGTAGCACTTATGGCTAATCATGGACTAATTAGTTTTAAAACATTCGTCTCGCGATTTTCAACCAAACTGTGCAATTAGTTTTTTTTCGTCTATATTTAATAGTCCATACATGTGCCGCAAGATTCGATATGATAGTTTGGGGTGAAAATTTTTGGGAACTAAGGCCTGGTTTAGTTCCCAAAAATTTTCACCCCAAACTATCACATCGAATCTTGCGGCACATGCATGGAGTATTAAATATAGACGAAAAAAACTAATTGCACAGTTTGGTTGGAAATCGCGAGACGAATGTTTTAAGACTAAGGGCGTGTTTAGTTCAAAAAATTTTGGTTTTTGTCCATCACATCGAATTTTTGGACGCATGCATTGAGCATTAAATATAGACGAAAAAAAACTAATTGCATAGTTGGGTGAGAAATCGCGAGACAAAACTTTCGAACCTAATTAGTCCATAATTAGACACTAATTATCAAATACAAACGAAAGTGCTACAATAGCTAAACCTAAATTTTTTCACGAACTAACCGTGCCCTAATTAGTCCATGATTAGCCATAAAGTGCTACAAAAACATGCTTCCGATATCTCCGAAATATCTACAATATGACATTCCAAAACCCTTCCGATTTTATTTGATGTAACATCAAAAAAAAAAATTTATTTCGCGAAATAAACACAGACTAAACCAGGCCTCTGCAGCATCTGTCAAATGGAGACGGGCGGTCGATTTGGATTCTTGCTGGCACTGCGCCGTCTGCGCATGGCAAGGAGGCGCTGAAAGCGAGGAGGCCCATGCGCCGCCTTCGAGTGCGCTGTCAGAATCTAGGCTCTTGGTAATTTTTTTTTAAAAAAAACAGCTCATTTTTATAGAAAATTTATTTGCGAATTCTAAAGGACGCCATGCAACCGCGAGAAGGCTCCACGAATCTACGGCAGCTAGCTTCTAATCTTTACAATGGACAACCTCTGCCTGAAATGGATGAATCAAATATCGATGAGGCTTCTGCGAACATGACTGTGGAGTAACGATGCTGACATTTGTAGCTAGGTTTGTTTTTTTCATTGAAAATGCATGCGTAGGTGTTATACTACTCACGATGCATACGCTTAGGTTCATGTGCCGCTGAGCGCTGAACAATTAGCTTTCCTGCTGACATATTAGATGATGAATTGAACAAAAGACCATAGCACGGTGGATCAATCGAATCTAAAGCCTTCTAGGTCACTCAACCCCCATGGCACACAATTTCCCTATCAAATCCTAACTACCACCACCACAATTGAGTATGCTAAGCGAATCTTCTTTTCCCCAACAAGCTTTGCTGGAGGATAGACGGACAACTTGATGTACTTTAGTGCACTAGCTAGCTACATTTTCCATCACTAAACTGCTAGGAGCACATCTATACTTGCACTAGCTGCGATGAAAAGTTGCGAATAAACACTTGTATAGCTTCTATATCAGCTAGGAGCACTACTCTACTCCCATGCTACGATCAGCATGTGGATAAGTTGTGGGCTAATCTCAGTTGTGTATAAACTAGAGTAGCCATAGCCGTCCGTAGGCAGAATCTTGCCTAATCCCATCGCGGCATAAACTAGCAGTTGAGCCGGGACTTGGGAACCAGAGCTCCAATCAAACAACGCTCGATGCCGGACTCCGCATCGTGTGTGCCGCCGCACAAGCGCTTGCTTTGCTGCGCTTCTGACTTCTCCCATCTCCATGCACATGCATCTGGGCTCTATCTCTGGCCCGGACAAAAGTAGCTTTGCAGCCGCACGCTCGAGTTCACTCGCCAGCGGCCAGGCTTTTTTGCTCCTCCTGCATCGCCTTTGCTCTTCGTCTATCTGAACTCGATTTTGCACGTACTACAGCTGTACGAGTACTGGAGGCTGCAGCTGAACCATGAACTGACAAATGGAGCCGGAACAAGAAGTGAGCCGTGGGCCCTGGGTCCGAAAGGAAATGCCCGGACAAGGGCACGGGCCACGGGCGGGCAGCAAATTTGAAATGGCCGTGTCAGGAGCCGATGGGCATCTTTCCAGTACGATCACTATTTTGTGGGGTTTTTTGTCGACTTTGTCAATTGTCAATACCAACGTGTTTATAATGGCCGTCAAGGATCTCTTCCTAGCAGCAGTATTAAACAAAAAGAATAATCCCTCAGACTTCTGATCTTGCTCAAATTTGTTGGGGCGCATTCTTGTTCTATTGATTCAAATTTGTTTATTGATTTCGTGAGAGAAAAAACAAGCCAGCCGGCTGGCTTAAAGCCAGCCGAACAAGCCCTACGGCAATTGCACCAAGTTTCTATTGCTGCTCCTACACCCTGACACAACCCGCCAGACCACAAAAGCTGAGCTCATGCGAAGCCGAACCCGGATCTCAGATCTGGCAAACACGCAAAGGTCCCAGTCGCTCATCATCTGGCCTGTTTCCAGATCAAAGCCCGTGAATGAATCCAGTAGCAGCAATCATGAATGCCAGGTCCCAGGTGGCCAGGTGCATCCGTTGGCCTGACGCTGGAAAATCTTTGCATTAACAGAGTGAGGGAGACATGCATGGCAATCTGTCGGTACTCAGTACAAGTCATTCCAATGAGAAGGACCAGATAATTGAGCCTTCCTAAGCATTGCACGGCAGCAATTTCAGGGTAACAACTGACATTGAACGACAGTACTGGAAGTCAAGCAAAAGATCTGGTTAGACTGTCTCCAATAACGTGACCCATCCCCAAAATTGCGTCGTGCACAGTGTTTTGACCGCGAAAAACAAGCTCCGCCAGCAAACCACAAAGCTCGGAGGAGCTCGGAATGCGAAGCGTCTTTGCGTCTCCGCCGGCCCACCACCACAGCACCATGAGGAAACACGGAGCTCAACAGGCCTCATGGCAGTCGCTCATCATCGAGGGGCTTGTTTCCAGATCGCGCGCCCAGCCCGTGAATCCGGGAGGGCCCAGTAGCTTGCAATCTTGAGATGATGCCAGGTCCCAGGTGGCCAGGTGCATGCCGTTGGCCTGACGCTGGAAAATCTTTGCATTAACAGAGTGAGGGAGACATGCATGGCAATCTGTCGGTACTCGGTACAAGTCATTCCAATGAGAAGGACCAGATAATTGAGCCTTCGGATAAGCATTGCACGGCAGCAATCGCCCGGCCATGAGGGCGAGCTCAGGGTAACAACTGACATTGAACGAAGGAGAGTACTGGAAGTCAAGCGAGGGCGAAGCTCACGGACATAAGCTCGCCGGGGCGAGCTCCGTCGGTATGAGCTCCGTTGGGGAAGAAAAGGGGGCGGATCCGGCCTTGGGCGGGCGGATCTATGCCGGCGTCGGGGGACGGCCCAGCCACGCTGGGGTTGACGGCTCAAGCGGAGATATGTAGGTCGTGAAAAACAGCAGATAAAGCGAAAGTATCCATTTGGGTCTCTTCACCAAGGATCTATGCAGGTGACGGCTCAACCAAAAACAGCAGAAAAATAGCCAGCACCAACTGACTGTCCTCCCCTCTAAAACTGTCAGCGCCCACCGCCCTTTACAAATGCCACATGTGATGGATGCGGCAATGCTGAGAACTGGTAGTACACCACTTGAAGACCAAAGGAAACAAGATTGTTCTGAAATAAGGTTCAGTGAACGTGTGGCATCCGGTCCGAGCTCGCCTAGGGAGATCTCTCCCGGTGTGTTGTTGGAGGATTTTCAGGTGAGGGATGAGGAGTTCGTGGCGCCCGCGGAAGAGCTGTCCGGCCATGCTGGGGTTGACGATGGCAGCACGGTGTCTCCGACCATTGTCGCGCCTTCTACGTCGCAACCTGTGCCGGTTGACGAGTTCGTCAACGCCTACAAGAAGCCACTGCAGCAGCCGGTGATCGCGACGCCACCGCGCCCTCGGGCTACCCGGAACGCGGGTGCACGGGCGACGCCTGATACGGAGCTCGTACCCAAGAGGAGCGCAAGGCTAGCGGCAAAGAGCAAGTACAGAGAGCGCAAACCCGAAGCACAAGCAAGAAAAGTTATGATGAAGCGAATCGGCGTCGACACCGTGACGGAATTACCTGATGAGGCAACTTTCCAGGAATCCACAACACCTTCAAGATGCCGCTCCCATCGCCGACGAGGGAGGTGATGCAGGTTCTTTTCCCTGGCAGGAAGCAGCGGTCATCCAGGACCGTTAGTGCCGCCTAGGCCCCCTACCTCGTGTCGCTGTGTGATTGTTGTCAACAGCTCTCATTGGTCGCAAAATTTGTATGCAATGTAATAAAGCCTGTTCGTTTGGTGGCTGCAGCTTTGTCAGAACGATCGTAAAAAACGAGTCGAACGGTATTTTTCTCACACAAACCAGGTCAAGTGATTTTCTTCACACAACCAAAGAATGGATACGTAAGTCAACCAAGAACATACCGTCGCGTGGCTTCGGTCGATGGCCTCTCGCCACCATCGAAGGTCACTTTGTACTAATTCCGGTTTCCCCCTCTTAATGAAAAACGGGCACAATGTCCGATTGAGAGAAAAAGTGAACGTGATTGATAATAGGCAAAACCACGAAACCTTCAAGTGTCCTTCAGATCCAGTTGACTAGCTGAGACAAGCAGTAACTATTGTATACTGAGGTTTATGGTTATTGCTTTCTTTAAGGTATGACTGATCATATGAGAGTGCACCGCGCTACAATCCAAGACAAGGGACAACTGGACAAGAAGTAGGGGAACAGCTCAAATCAGAATCTAGCACATCATAATCATAATATTATTGAAGTTCCAACCAGGTCAATGTTGATGTCAGTGAATAAATGTGATTTACATAATTTACATTGGACCCATTTTTATTTTATGAATTTAACCGTCCCTGATCAAATTTGTTGGCTCGCTTAGTACGTACTTTGGAAGTTCATATTTGGCACCTGCAATATAGCGTACAAGGTGATTAATAATTTGAAAATTCACCAGATTACACCAAACCATGATATGTATACACAATACCTCTTTCATCATAGCAAAGTGTCATGTCAGAATTTGATACAATGATGCCAGCGCTATCCACTATGGTTTGTGCAAGCGCTAAATCAGAATCTGCAGCAGCTCTAAGTGCGTCCCAAATCTCTGGAAAAATACGAAGTTAATTTTAGTGTAACAAGAACACCGCAGCAAACAGTTCTTTAACTATTTGATTGTATTTAATTTTCTGTTATCATGGTAACGGAAATGGGAGGAGCCACGTTTCATAAAAAAAATTATTGTATCTAGCGTGTCATCAGCAGAACATAAATATTTTTATGTAAACAAGACCATACACTTCAGTAAATTCATGAAAGTTTCAAAGCATCTACATGTTCTAAACCTTTTCCGCATAATAATAAAGTAAAATTACAAAACAGCGCGAGTTTAGAAGTATACTCATGACCAATTTGCATGATGGTCACAAATTCAAAACCGTCGAAAGCTGTTCATTCCCTGAGTGGCATAGCAGATGTCAATTTCTACTCTTGTTACATGGTCAGCTATGAACTTATGGTGCCTCTACATACATATTTCTTTTCCTTTTAAGACAACAGTTGATATGTCAAATTTAACACCAACTTGAGGGGTGAACTGCCAAGACAGCAAAATCAACAATATTTTGACGTGAACTCAAAGTATTGTGCTGCACACATTAGCAAAGCCCAGTCGAATCAGACTGGTCCATCATCTGAGGTGGGCAAAAAAGAGTGGTCCAACATGCAGTATAAATGCATCACAGATTCACTAATAAATGCCGACAGTAGAAAACTGAAGCTGCCATCAGTAAATATACAATGTACCTTTCTGTCCACCATAGTGAGGAGCAGTGTCCCAAAATTCATCACGCATCTGTCTGAGTTGTGCCGGTGTTATTGCTTGGGTGTGCTTCCAAGGCTTTGGTTTTTTCAACTTCTTACCGTTATCTGAGACAAAGAGAAAATGTTGAGCATTAATAAGTGAGTATATCAGCACAATGATTTCCATTGTAAATAAGCAATGCCATCAGACCACATTCGACCAAGCTAATGCTATCAAGAAACATACAAAGGATGTGCACAAAACGTGGCCAAATATCGTTCTACCTCCAAGCATTCACCTATGATAGATGTCATTTTTGCTCTTTCTAAACAAAGATCTGAGCATGCTGACGAAATATTTCCTCTATCTAAAAAATGATGATGCAATACTTGAACAGACCTGTTTAAAAACAAACCTATTAATTCCTCTAGTAAAAAGAAAGTGATGATTTGGATGCCAGCACAGTAACTGATTTTCTTACAACATTAGTTTCAACTGTAGTTCCTCACAAAAAAAAACTTTCAACTGTAGTATATTTATGAACATATAACTTATAGTATTATGCAAATATTTTTTTTACAAATTTAAAAATTATCATTACCGCATGCCAAGTCATTTTTTATAATAAAATGGTATCAACATATTATATGGTTGACCACATGCTTTCCAAAATACCACTATTTTTTGCTTGTAGTCTACAAGCATGTATGCGAAGGCACTAGTTTTACACTCCTTAAATTCTTCACATGATGGTAGAAGATAAACATTTGTCTTCACCTAAACCTAACTCTCTAGATTTAAAAGCGACTTTCTTGAGGCATACAAAAATGTTACAGCTTGATGAACCTTCTAAAGTAGTCTAAACTAGTACAGTAAGGATCCATCAGATCAGAATAAAAAAAAAAGAGTGAAGTCGTGTCCCTTGTGGTTCAACAGCATGACTAGTGTTTATCAAACAAGGAAAGGTGCACAGGCAACCAATCTGCTATCGTCATCTTGCTCCTATCTGATCTGCACCTGATGGATAATGTAGGTGCAACCAAAATAATTATCTAACACAAAGCAAATCCTCTTAATCAATCAATGGCTTTCCTCCTAGAAATAGATCAAATTATCGCTTCAATTTATCTTACATATCACTGTATCGTTGATTTTGTTACCATAAGGAAAGAAATTTTGCTTAACCGGTGAAATGGCTTCCCCCCAACAACAAGAATAAACCATCATCTCAGCTAGTCATTCAGACTGTATTACTGTCTCATCTTTAGTTCTGTTAGGCATGAGCAGAGCTGCAGAAGTGCATCTGCCATATGAAGAATAAACCGTCAGTTCCAGTTACTTTCATGACAACCAGTCATATCTTTGTCTCCCCAACTACTGTATGATCTACCTTTTGCCTAAAAGAGAACAGGTCCTTCCTTCAATTGCCTTGTGCCAATAGTTCCTAAGATCTTCTCCGTCCATCCGTTGGCCGTGAACTCCATCACAATTCACAAGAAGCTGTACTCGGTACCACCTTGGTGATGGTCCTGGAGCTCAATTAACCATCGATAGCAGGTGTAGCTATTAGCTAATTCGAGTTACCAATCAGTACCCAGCTTATACAAGAACCAAGGACGCTAACAAACCAGCTACCCACTGTACTCTAAACTCGGTTCCAGAACCGAATTACAGAAGATGCAACGGTCATCTAACACAAGATCCCAATCTGAACCATACAGAAAACAACGGAGAAGAAACAGTAGACTAGGCAGGAGGATAGACCTTCAGTCTTTGGAGTGGATCCAGCGCATCCCATGGCGAAGGCCAATCAGACGGTCATGGGCGACCACCCTCCCCCTTCTAGAAGCTTCTGGACTCGGTGGCGCGGCCGCGGGCGTAGGGATGGGATGACTTGGGGGGAGCGACGCGCGAGAGAGCGGTGGAGAGCTGAAAAGCGGACACGGAGCAGGAGTGGGGGGCAGTGGACGCATCGGTAGGTGGTCGCGCACGATGCTAGCCAACAAAAACCGGTGCGGGCCTCGGCGGATACGCCGACGAACAACTGAACAAGGTGGTTTTGTTCTCTAGTCTTCGGCCCCTTTGGTTTTTATTTTCTGAAGTTGGGTCCGTCGTATGTATGGGCTGGCCCGGCCGAGCGTACACACTTCATAGCCCAGAGTCGGACTGGTGACACAAATGGGCTTACAAAAATTCAAGCGTGTTTCAGCCCTGTCTTACCTGTTCGATTCATTTTCTCCTCCTCCTATCTATGCCTTCGCAGCGCGGCGGCCCAGCAGTTCGCGGAAGTGCCGGAGCGACGACCTGGGACTCGACTACGACGCGCTTTGGACACCGACACTCGACACCGACGCAAACGCGCGAGGCCGCTGTCAGCGCCGTTGCGCGGGCGTCAACCGCCGAAGGCGCCTCCAGTTCGTCGTGTGCCTTAGCAGAAGCGCAAGGCCGCTGCCGCAGGCGTCAACCGCCGAAGGACCTCTTCGACCTCGAGAAGTGCAAGCACGCCACCGCCGTGTGTTGATGAGTGTTGACTAGGGTGGCGGCAGTAGGGGCCAAGTCCTCAATGAAGTCAGCGACATGGTGATGAGTGTGAAGCCTAGCAGGTGTTTGACAAAATGCTTCTGTGCTTTGCCTGCTTCAGTTCCTCAGTTGACCATATCAAAGGCAGTGAGTTGTGACGATGGGTTCGTACTGCTGTAGCTGGGATGACCACACCTAGGAGAGGTGGTGCCTGTATTCGGCGATGCGGAAGTGGAGCATTGGGGCCCTATGTCGTCGGCACTGATGGCAGCTCTGTCAACTGCACCTGTCACCACGCTGCTCCGTCTCCAAATACATAGGTGAGGAGGCGTACGTGTAACACCTCCAGTGTTACATGAGCTCTTTTAGCACTAAACATGTAATTATTAACTTGCTAATAATAAATTAGAGCAAGATTAGAGTAGAAGAGAACTAAAAAATAGAATGAAATAAAATACATTATTAAATAGAACGTTATATATATATATATATATATATATATATATATATATATATATATATATGTTTTGAATCTCAATTAAATTCGAGCTTTGTTGAAATTTTTCTTGTGCTTAGATGTTGCTAATTGTCTAAATTAGTAAACCGATAGAGATATATATATATATACACTCACGTATTTTGTTTGGATAAGCATGTTGCTATATTAATTAAAGTAGTGTACAAACTTATTTCTTCCCGAGTGTATCTCTATAGATAAGTATATGATTAAACATACAATAAATATATGCATGTGTGTATGGATGTTAGTGATAAAGAAATAATGACATATTTGTAATTACATAATTATTTATATATTTTGGTAAAAAAAAGAAAGAAAATGGTAAAACACACGCACTCATGGACGCCTGTGTGCACGCCTAGCCTCGTCGCTGCCAGTCTCGCCTCTGCGGCCGCTCTACCGACGCCGCTTCTCGGTAGGCTGTCCCGCTGCCGCTACCGCGTCCGTCTCCTCGCCGTGCCCACCGTGCCGAGTACCATCAATACGCATGGCCGTTGTGACATCGTCGTTGGTGATCGTGGCGCGTTCCTCGCCTCTTGATCCATCTACCCCATCGTGCATCCGTGCCGCTTAGCAGTCGTCGCATATTGGCCGTCGGTCCCGGCTCCTAGGGCGACAAGACGCCTCACTGCCGTCCTAACCGCTAGGCGACGGTGGTGCATCCCCGCTCGGGATCAATCATCCGATTTACTCGCGTCGTGCCGCGTTGTCGAGCCGATTGCTTGCTCTTTCTCTCTTTGCTTGCCTCCTATGTTGCCCGTCGCCGGCTCTATTTCCCCCACGAGCGCCGCAGAAGCCCATGCTGCTCCTCCGCCGCAGTAGCACCGGCGCCCTCTTCTTCCTCCTCGCGTCTCGCGCTACCACATCGCCTTTGGTGGCTTGGCGGTATTTGGGCCATGGCCACCACCGCCCAAGAAGCGCCGCCACCATCACCGCTTCTTCGCCGGTTGGGCCGTCCACCACGCTTTTCGCCGTCTGCTGTTCGGCCCTCACGAGCCTTGCTGAACCTCCACGCAAGACGCTGCCAGCCTTGCCTCGCGTTGGTCCACAGCCCCCCACGCCGCCTTCTCCGTGACTCCACCCCGCCTCTCAGCTGCATTGCCGCCTTTGAGCTGCGTTGTTCGAGCCGCCTCCGTTCCGCTGGTAAATACCGCAATGTCCTCGCCATCATTGCGCCGCCGCCGTCGTTTCTTTTTCGGCGTGTAAATGGCGCGTGAGCGCGAGCCCCACTGCGTTGTGGCGGCGCCAGCGCGCCGACATCGCTGTGCCGCGCCGCCCGTCCACGCCGGGCCACCCCTGCCGTGGGTGCTCCACCGGGAGCGCCGTCATGACCTTATTGCCGCCACACGCAGCGTGACGGCCGCTTATGCCTCACGCCTGCCGTCTCGCCATCCCGCTGGCCGGGCCGCCACACGCCCAGTTACCAACAGTGCTGCGCCACATCGGCTCGCATGAAAGCATCTTTGCCGGGGCTGGCTCAGTCTTCTGCGGCCAGCCCCGAGGCCACGAACACTGAGCTTCTGCGCACCTCGCCGGTGGGTTTCCCTCCGCCGCCGTGACTTCCTCGGCCGGGTTTGACCACCAGCCGATGCTCCTCTGCTCCTCTACCTCGCTCACGGATGCTGACGGGTGAGAAATTTAAATAGAGAATGTTCCAGGGTTCTTATTGCAAAATACGTGACTTATATGAATAGTATCGCATAGTGCTGTTTACCTCGAGTTAAATAAGAAAAAGCGCAGGGTCCTTTTTGCATAGTTGCGCGCCCTCTCTGGGCCTTGCCACGTGGGTTGCTGCCGCGTGCGTGCTGTGGCAGAACCACCTAATCTAATGCCTCCCAGGAGTGCTTGTCTTCCATTAGACACTAAGCACTCAAGGGAGAACACCAAATTACATAGTTCCGTCGGGCACACCCCAGGGGAGAACTAAAAAATCCATATTTTTCCATCAGGATCACAAATGAGAGAATAAAGCTTACATCATTCTTAACCATTTCTTACATCATTTTACATATAACGTCAGAGTATAACATTTATTATTTAACAGCGGAATGTAGTCATATTATTAGAGTTATGAATAATTTAATTGAATAGCGGAATATAAACATGTAAACAGAGTTACAGCGGAATTAAACATCTATTTATGACGTGATAAAATATTGATATATAAACTACGACAACAGATTATAAAACTTATATTTAATAAAACATTTGGTGAGAGTTAAAAATAAAAACTACAATCGCATCGTAAAGGAAATCCTCTCTGAGCCCACCAGGAGGAATCCACACACAAAGGTCAGCACTAGCCTCCACCTCTCACCTGCAACAGGGGGAAATAAAACCCTGAGTACTCAATTGTACTCAGCAAGACTTATCCGACAGAAGAAGAGAAAAGACTCCAAGGATATGCAAGGCTTTCTAGCTTGTGGTTTATTGCACCTGCAGGAGCATTACTAAAAGTGTGTCCTTATATTCGATTTTTATTAGCAGTGCATTAGTTCATTAACTAATCATTCTATGTAAGCACATGTGCTACTTTTTAAGCAAGTGGTAAGCAATCAGAATCCTTTTTCCCATCTTTCATCTTTTAGTTCTTACTACTGTGCTAGGCCATAGACAAGCCGTACCAGAACGTCGATGATTCGCGAATCAATGCCTCTAGCTAGGTACCTCAAAAACACACGCCCCGCTTGTACCCCAGGCACAAGCCGAACCAACCCACTACTCTCCTATCATGGGGTCTAGGTCACCGTCCAAACTGGGACTCCAAGCCCCCGCCCCTGAGTCCCAGACTCAGTGCAGTGCAAGGATCTCCTAAACCCAAAAACCACCCTGACAGTCGGTCCGCAAAGAGCCAGAACCCATGACAAGAGAGTAACAAGTCTTCCAAGCGTCCATACCCAAGTATGTGCTCGGGATAATAAGTCTGTGACTTGCATAGTCTTATGCAACGGCCGATCCTTAACCGACACAGATAGAGAAAACAGTGTAACCAAGCCATGCCCCGTGGCCGTAGGACACAACCATATCTCGCGAGTGACAGGCAATCACTCGACTTCTATCGAAGTCTTATAGCATAGCAATCTATGCGATCCTATCATACTAGTAAGACTCATAGGATAACGATATATATATGCAGCTGGGTTTCATTCAACTCCTTAAAACTTAATACACAAATATAATTTAAAGTGTAGCAAAATAGGGATTATGCACCGGAGCTTGCTTGGGTAAGATTTAATTAGAAGTTAGCTTTCCATCATGGCGACACGGTCTTCAGAACCACCATTTCTCCAACAACTCCCGATGAATCCGCGATCCATCAACGTCACTATTATGATATGCCATGCGATGCAATCCAAAGACGTAAATAATCAACTGCAACGGTGATTCATAAAATATGATTTACGCCTTTCAAGTTAACGAGCTAGTTCTAACGATGACCATAATTAGGCTACGTAACCATGTTGTCGAATAAGGCGTTATTTCCCAACAATTGTTTTAGTTATACAAATCCAAGTTGTTTCTTCGTTCCATTCTATCAATTTAATCTTTATTCAAAATAGGGTATAATTACCTACATAGCAACTAATTATCCTGAAGCTACAAAATTACAGTGAGCAGCTAATAATATTAGAAATTTACTGTAAATTTTTTAGAACTAACACTATCACCGATTTATTACAGTAATTCCTACAAGTTTATATTTTAGCAATATTAAGCATGTTAAAATAATTAAAGAAACCCTGGAAACATATCGAACC